TCAGGAGACTACCTCCAATGTCTTTCATTCTTTGACTTTGTTGGTATGCATATTGGGCTTCTTAACTGTAAAGTAAAAGCAGATTAGAAGACTGCCACCTGCAGTCCAGAAGCCTTTTTATGCCATTATGTTTATTGAGATGGGAGGGGAGGCAGAGAGGAACTGGAGGGTGGGGAGCAGAAGGTGGGAAAAAGGTGGGAAAACCATATTCAAGATATGAAAATTATGTCTATCCATAAAAGGGAAAAATCTACACAGAACTTTGTAGACAGAGCAGCAGACACTGTTAACTGTTTGTTTGAGCACAGGTTCAGTGACTCCTTTCCACAAATTTGACAAGCCATGCCTATTTTGTAAATAGCAGACCAAATTTAAGATAAACCCTGCCTGAAAAATCAAAGCTTGGAAAGGTCATGACAGAAGTAGAAGTGTGTTTCTGGTGGATGTCAGAGGTCTCTGTGCAGATCTTCTTTCTGCTCTAATTAAATTTCAAGCGAAGATATTTCCCTCTCAGGAGGTCTCTGCCTCCTTCAGGAATCAATGGCAGAGGGCCTGAGTCTCAACCTGTCTCCCTCCTGCCTAAAGAAGAACTATGAGGAAAAAGGCATTCCTTGTCTTAGCTCACAAAAGAAATGCCCTTTATGAATACTTACACATATTTAGGTTCTGTTAAAACACTTTGATTTTTCAAAATCATTGCCGTTTGGGATCTTGACTGTTGTGATATGCTTAGCAGTACTTTGTTCAGTTACTTCTAAATTTAGATACTCTCTCCAAATTTTATGAATTTTAATAAATGCTTGCTGAATTATAAAAGCAAACATGGAAGTATGAGATTTTTGATGTGAAATGTCTTTACAATGTTAACATCTGAACTCAAGATTTTAAATAACTTCGTGTTGAATTTAAGTATAAATTACTTAATGTTGTCCCAAACCAGAACCAGCAGACTTGGTTTAAACATAGAAGGGAATACTAAACATCTGACTGTATTTTGTACAAATACAGATGCAACTTAACATAGAACATCTGGTTGCACTGCAGGGTTGCTGCAAGAACTACTTCCTTGCTCCATTTCAAAGAAAATTTCAGTCTATCCTGCTGTAAAGATGATTCACCTAGTAGGTAACATTACCTAGATGTGAGAAAGAAAGATCTAAACCAACTCCTTTAAAAAGAAAGAAAGAAAAGATTAAACCAAATCCTTAATATTCAGCTTGATCTCTACACACTGAGCAATAGTGCCTCAGCCCTCAGTGCCAACATTTCTTAAGAGGTTGTAGTTTCTTCACATGTTGCTGCGGTAGAATGCTGACAGAGTCACTTAGAGGAGAAGGGGTTTATTTGAAATCACAGTTTCAGATTACTGTTCATTATGGCTAGAATCTCAAGGCAGTGGGATTTCAAGCATCTAGTCACATCCACAGTCAAGAAACGGAGTTGACGGAGTCACCACATGGGTGCCTACACTTGTCTCTCTTTCTCCACTCTTATACAGTCCAGGGCTCAGCCCATGAAGTGGTGCCACCCACTTTGGGTAGGTCTCAATTAAATTAATTGAAAACTTAATTAAAACAACCAAGCTCCACAGGCCAGCTTCATCTACACAATCCATCATTAAGACTCTCTTCCCAGATAATTCTTGATTGTGCCAAGTGGACAAATTATTTACACAAGCCTTGCCAAGTACAAAGCCAGTCAAAATGTCAGCATGGACAGGGAAAGGACTCACACAGCCCCACCCTTGGCTGAGAAGCTCTG